TCTTATATATATTAATAAGTACCTAACCTAATTTTTCAACTTCTCTTCAGACTCTTCTCATTTGATTTGTGAGGACTGTGACTGTGCCTCTTGATCAATATTTGAATTTTAATTTTATAATATTTAAATTTTTTTATACAAATTTTATTTTGTAAAATTGTATAACTTTTAAAAGAAAAAAAAAAGGTTATAAATAATTAAAATGTATGGTTAAAATATGTTGTTGAATATTTCTAAGGTATTTTTTTAGTAAAAATCTGTAAGTACCCATGGATATTTGCAAATATTGAAAAAATACGTGAGTACCCACTTAATGGATATTTGCACTGATATGAGAACAAATATCAAATGGATATTTATCATACAAAGAGTAAAGATGACAAAATGAATCTGAACCCTACATGTATCCGCAAAAATGGTCTCATGTGGGGTGGGTAAATACCCACTTATATGCAGATGGGTGCGGAACGAGTATAAATCCATAAAATTTAGTGGGTGCGGGTACATTGGTACCCAACCCGCGCCCACAATTATATATAATAATAATAATAATAATAATAATAATAATAATAATATAATTACTTAATAATAATAACTTATTTATTTGTTTAAAAAAATTGCTAAGGATGTTTTAGCAATTCCAATTTCAATCATAGCTTCAAAATTTTCATTTAGCACAAGAGGCAGAATTTTTAGCCTCATTATGTTCTAGACTCCATGAATTTACTCTGAAAGCATTTATGTATACACAAAGTTGATTGAAATACAAGTAACAAGATAATAAATAATTAAACTTTATTTATTTAATAAGTTATTTTATTTTTTAGTTGATTTTAATTATTAATTTAAATTGTATAATCATTCATTTTCTTGTCATGTAGTTTCTATTGATATTACTATCAAAACAATATATAGACTTGGAAGACAAGTGTTTACAAAAATATGAAGAAGATAATTCCGATGATGAGATCAAATGTCTACATATTTGGTTCTTGAAATTTATAATGTATAATTTAATCTGACTAAATTCTGTACAATTTTTCTTTGCAGGTTTTAGAGGATATTGTTAACACATGATCATGATGTTGGAAGTTTAATTACAACTTTTATTATGTTAAATTTTTTTAAAAGTTTATTTACAAGAATTGAATATTTTGTAATATTTATTTATAAGAATTGTTATGTTAGAATTTTGTAATGTTAAAGACCTAACAAATTAATATTATGTTTGATTGCGTAAAATGTTATATCTTTATTAATTTATTTACTTTATACATAAGTAAAATGTGGATCAGGGGTGTAGGTATGAGTACAGAAGTGTCCAACAGATACAAGGATGATTAAAATTGTTATCCACGTAAGTATGGGGCTAGGTAAGGGTATTTTTTTTTTAAATGTGAGTATGTGAATGAGTATTATAGAATCCTATCTAGACTCTGGCCATTGCCATCCCTAACGGAGAGGGTAGCAGGAGGTTACTATTCATACTCGTCTCACCCCGTTTACATCTTAATCATATAGATAAATAGGTTGACGTATTAAGCTTATCAAACTTTTTAATAAACATAAGCTCAGTTTTTTTAAATAATAGTTTTTTCTAAAAGTCTAAACTTGACATTTTTATTAAATAGGTCATGTTAGGTTAGGTTTTAAACAGGCTAAATTATATGTTTTTGTTCATCCCTGCTTATGATCATATGCTTAACAATAAAGTTATTTATCTACCATATCAAATCATATTCATACAATCAGGTACATAGT